TTATTCCCCCCCCCCCCTGTATTTTCAGCAAAACGGCTCTTTTTCGTGAGGCCAATAGAAGCTGCTTCAAGCTGGGCAGAATTTCAAAAGTTATGGCTACGGGTGTCTCCACCACCACCCAAAACTACCCGTTTGGAAAAATTTTCTCTTCTTCCTCATGGCTATCTCGTTTTCGTGCCCGCTCTTTGTTTTCTTCTCACAGGTCTTTCTATGTGGTGGCTCATTCAACGCCATCCCATAAGTAAGCTCTCTACTCTGTTAGCTATGCGTTACTGTTTCTTGTCTTATGGGTAGCTTTTTGCTGGTTTTTTCTTAATAAAGATGGTAGCTTTTCTGTATTTTGCTATTTCTGTTTGCTGTTGGTGTGTACCTCCACTATTTGACTGGTTAGCTCACTTCTGTTAATTTGAATGCGAGTTCTGCTATACCGAAGTTTTAGAGCGTCTGCATTGTGCTAGTACTTCTAGAAATGGGAAGTTTGTGGATTTTCTTACTGCTAATTTGAACATTTGTTAGGACTTTAATCTTTTGCATAAGGGAAACTCTGCCTTCTTATTGGTTACGTTTGTTTGAGATAAGAAATAAATTGAAGAACAAAGAAATATCATAAAGAAAAGTCCATGAGAAGAGATATGCTTTGGATAATTGGTGTGTCAGTTTGTGAGTGGAGATTTGTATACTAGAAGTAGATATAACCAGATAAGTACATGATTTGAGGAGTTGCTGCAATAGACATGCTAGAACACTAGTTTTTAAGTATTAGAATTGCTTGTGAAAAGGAAAAAACCTCAAGAATAAGCACTACTAGATTTCATGATAGTAAGATAGTCTTTTTATAATTTGATTGACTTGTTATTCACAAGTTATTGGATTATGGTTTATGGACTGTTTGGGATCAGTTGGGTCATGGCAGGTTTGGTGAGGGAAGAAATTTGGGCGTGGAAGGACATTAGTGGCTGAAGGAAGCAGGTGGAGATTATCTCTCTTACCGTATTTTGGATGGTGTGGAAGGAGAGAAATAGGAGAGTTTCTGATGGGGTTGAGGATGCTGATGGCTTTGATGTACTTAAGAATACGTGGTTTCAGACCCTTGGTTTTTGTTATGGGGTCATCCTCTTTATTTTATGGAGAAGTTATCAAATTTTGTGGAGAATTTGATTGACATAAAAATTCTTTTGTACATGGGTGACGCCCCCTTGGTGCTGATACTAATGTACTTCACAGTTTATATTTTTTTTAAAAAAAAATTGAGGACATGACTGCTAATCTGAGTTGTATAAGTCATGAACAAATGCTAGAATTAGTTGCTGGCTGGATTTCTTTAACCGCATTGCCTTTTTTTTCAGATATCATCTAGAAAGCTGTAGGAATGTAGTACTCTGATAAGTAACCTTTCTGTTTCTTATATCTTGCCATATATGTGAAACAGACGAGGAGTCCGCAAAATACAGAGTTCCCAATGTACTGATCCAACTTCTAAAAATTCACATACCATTCACAAACCCTGGGGGTCTTATGGGTTGATCCTCGTACTAAGTTACCAAAGGATGGTGCCCCGAACTCTTAACAACCATCATGAGAAATTAGATGAAGCAGTTATTCAAGTTTCTGGTAACAATAAGAGGCAAAAAATTTTTGGCACTATTGCTTCCCAACCAAAAATTTGTAGTCCTGAAAAGGGATGGGAGCAAGAAACAACAATGATGAGGAAGGAGAAGGAAGAAATTCAGCTAGCACTGGATAAATATATGCCATGTTCAGGGAAGGGGTCTGATCCAATTAGCATATATGTTGATGGCACCTGCACCACGAATACAAAAGCACCAGCTCCTGAAAATGTTTCTGGGCATCAGTCTGCTCCCTTCTTTGAAATAAAGCATAAAAATAACAGTAATATAGATGTGAAAGAACCTAATTATGTTGAACAGAAAACATATAAGGACATAATAGAAAATATTGGATCTCTTGGTCCTTTTCCTAGACAGATGTTGGGCAAAGGGCAAGGAACAGAATCCAATGTCAATGGGAAGGTAGGTATTTATGCAGATCCAGAGAATTCTAGGAGTGAAACATCAACCGCAAGTCCTGATGCTAAAGATGAAAGTAAAATTGCTAAGAAGGAAAAAGATGCAAGACAGCTTATTCAGGAGAAGCTGAGTAGCATCTATAGTACAGTTCATGTTGTTGATAACATATCTGATGCGAAGGAAGTAGTTAAGATGTTGACCGGGCAATTCAGAAATCTTGTACATGCATGTGATACTGAGGTGTGTATTCTTCTCATCCTGTTTTCCTTTTTCATTTATATATATTCATTCATAGCGCACAATTTCTACTTAAATTCTCTATGATCTGGTAGATATGAACCAATGCTTGTTAATAAGTTTTTTTTTTCTTTAAAAAAGTCACTTGATTTCCTCATACTTTCAAGTTTCTGTCTGATGATGATTTTATGTTCACAGGTTTCCAAAATTGATGTTAAGCAAGAAACCCCTGTCAACCATGGAGAACTAATATGCTTCAGTATTTATTCTGGACCGAAAGCAGATTTTGGAAATGGGAAATCCTGCATCTGGGTAGATGTTCTTGATGGAGGTGGAAGAAATCTTTTGAATGAATTTGCTCCTTTCTTTGAAGACCCATCCATCAAGAAGGTTACCTTTCTTTCCTTCCCCTCCCAATTTACCCTATGCCTATGGGACTAATGATTTTTTACACAACTAGTTGATGGCATGACCTGAACGTGAAATTACTTATTAAAATCCAATTTTGACGTTGGCCAACCCCGTTTGCACAAGAATGACACGGAATGATATGTTCATAAAGTAAATTAGTAATTAATGATACTGAACTAAATCGGAAATACTTAAGCATGATATGAACATGACCAAGTTTAAAGATAGAAACTCATTCTGAAACCCATTTTGTCATCCCTACTTGGCCTCATGGACCATTTCACTTATTAATTGTATAAGTATCACTAAATATAACTGGCATCTGGTAGGAATACTGTGAAATGGCTTGTGTCACTATCTGTGAGCATAATGCTTTATGCATGCTTTCTAGGAACTGAAGCTTGGAACTACCTAGAGATGCTACAGCAGCTTTTTCTTTTCTGATTTTATTGCAATAGAATATGGATCCCATGAAGATTCTCACTTTTAATGAACAGAATCAGTCAAATGCAGCTGTTGTATAGAGCCAGTTTGATTTTGTTTCTTGTACTGCCATAGGCTACGGTGTGTATGCTTAGTCAAGAAACAAACTAAGTCTTAGAAAATTTATCTGATTTGGCTGTAGGTTTGGCATAACTACAGCTTTGATAACCACATTCTTGAGAACTATGGAATTAAGATGTCTGGCTTTCATGCTGACACAATGCACATGGCACGGTTATGGGATTCGTCAAGACGGATGGAAGGTGGGTATTCACTTGAAGCACTAACTGGTGACGCAACAGTTATGTCAAAAACTGAAATGGCTGGCGGAACTGAATTGATTGGTAAAATATCCATGAAAACCATTTTTGGCAAGAAAAAGTTAAAAAAAGATGGATCTGAAGGCAAACTAATCACTATTGCTCCTGTTGAGGAACTACAGCGAGAAGAACGAATATCTTGGATATCATATTCTGCCTCAGATGCAATAAACACATTAGAGCTTTATGACAGCTTGAAGGGAAAACTTTCATCTATATCATGGAATGTTAATGGAAATAGATGTCCTGGAGAGCATATGTTTAACTTCTATGAGAAACATTGGCGACCATTTGGTGAGCTTCTAGTTAGAATGGAAGCTGAGGGGATGCTGGTAGATCGGAAATATCTTGCTGAGGTGGAGAAGATAGCTAAAGCAGAGCAGGAGATTGCTGCTAACCGGTTTCGAAGTTGGGCATCTAAATACTGCCCTGATGCCAAGTACA